AGCAAGTCACAGGGATCTGTCCCAAGTCTCACAACCGTTAGAAAGTGCAGTTTTGGTTTCTGGGAAACCAAATCAAAACAAATATTTATTGAACATGTTCCGTGCCAATACCACTGGGTCTTCAGTGTACCTCATACTCAATAAATATTTGTGTTTGAAGAAATCCTGGTTCGGAGTAGTTCTGACTTATTAATAGGAAGATAATTTAAATGCCTCCCAAGTGGAAAGTTAGCAAGCAAAGTAAAAATGCTACTGATTCAGGCCCCAACCGGTTTGGCTCAGTGGATAGAGTGTTAGCCTGCGGACTGAAAGGTTCCAGGTTTGATTCCGGTCAGGGGCATGTGCCTTGGTTGCGGGCACATCCCCAGTGGGAGGTATGCAGGAGGCAGCTGATCGATGTTTCTAACTGTCTATCCCTCTCCCTTCCTCTCTGTAAAAAGTCAATAAAATATATTTTTTAAAAAATGCTACTGATTCAGGGGAGGTGATGCCTTGCATGAACAGCAACGCTGGGCAAGGGTATTCTAGACAGTTGCATGGAGTCTACGTCATTGCTTCTGATTTAGTCCAGCAAGTTGTAGGTGGTGAAGAGAAACAGAGACGGGCAGGAGGCAGAGCACAGAGCAGAGATGGTGGGAGAAATCCCTGGAGATAGGGGGTGGGTAAGACAGGTTGCCCAGCAGCAATAGGAAGAAACTCACAGTAAAGCCAACCGTGTTTTCTGTGACTGGTGCCTGTTTCCTGCCTCTGCCGGGCTGCTCTGGCCAACTCGACCAAGTCCGTTTGAGGGGTGAGGCAGAAAGGAGGGTCTAGGAATGGAAGTGGGAGGGCAGTTTCTATCCCATCAGGACTCACAACTGGTTTCAGGCCCTTCCCAAATGGCCAATACTGAACACCAGCAGATGCTACCTGGGCACAGGATGCTCGAACTCCAGGAATCACCTCTTGGGCGGCTACAGGTCAGCTCCACAGTAAATGGGCTGGAGGCAAACCCTTGAGCTGCTCACGGCTAGAGGTAGGGGCCAGCCCAAGCTGCGAGCTGCAGAGGAAGCTGAGCCATGCCCTAGGTCCAAGAGTTAAGCCGGTCCCTAGAATGTTGTCAGAATAACAAAAGGCCCAGTCAGTTTGAGGGTAGCAAAGGCAAGCCTAGACTGAAGAAAACCATGCTGCTATTATCACACTCAACAAAAATGTCATTTCCTGATATTATCTAATATCCAATAGTTAATCAACCCACTTTCCCAATCATAAATGCCTTTGTACATTTTGTTTGTTGGAATCAGAATCCAAACAAAGTGTTGCAATTGATTCCAACATCTTTTTTTTTAAAATATATTTTATTGATTTTTTACAGAGAGGAAGGGAGAGAGATAGTTAGAAACACCGATGAGAGAGAAACATCGATCAGCCGCCTCCCGCACATCTCCTACTGGGGATGTGCCCGCAACCCAGGTACATGCCCCTGACCGGAATCGAACCTGGGACCTTTCAGTCCGCAGGCCGACGCTCTATCCACTGAGCCAAACCAGTTTCGGCAATTCCAACATCTCTTAAGTGTCTTTGAAGCTGGACTAGTTCCCTCCCTTCTCTTTTTCTCATATTTAACCATGATCTCTAAGAAAAAATAAACCTACATTTATTCTCTAATTGCAAGGAATGACTAATGGGTGGGGGTTTCAGGACAATTAGAAGACGTCAGTAAGAATGGAAAGATAAAAACTGTACCAGGAAGGTATCCAGAACAGGTCCATGTTGCTTAACCATAAAGAAGGTCCTGAGTTAGGAGAAGCCATCAAAGCCAGGACTTAGCTGTTGAGTCATGAGGTCTCATGGAACACTGACTGGCCCTAAGCTCTGAGAACATTACCTTATTCCTCGTGTGCAATCACTGTGTGATTGAAGGAATGAAGGAATCTGGGCAGCAGTATATTTAAGGTTGGACTAACTCCTGTGATCTCTCTGCAAAACTGGTTACTACAAATATGTGTTTGCTTGTGTGCATGATCTACTGCTTTATTTTTAACCTAAAAGAGAAAAAAAGATGTAAGGAATTAATCCCATGGTTAGAATAAATTGACACAGACTCATTTACAACACAGACTACAGTTTCTCATTAATTTATCATTTAATATAAATGCTGACAGAAAGCAGATAAAGACCTTGTAGACACTTTCATATATTTACAAACCAAAAGGTGAATCACCTCCTTCTACTTGTTAAAATGATCCTTTTATCTGCAACTCATGGGAGCCCTAAACACTAATTAGAAGCAACATGAGGCTGAGTCAGTTTCCAAGGTAATAAAGGAAGGAAATAGCATTTTAACAAAATGTGGCATCTTTGATATAAACAACATGCACACAAATAATACTAAATTGAAAAAGATGGCCCTAATCCTTTCAAAAGCCTGCGACAAGCAGAACACACCCTTACTCGCACCCCAAGTTCTGCTGCCCCAAATACCTTCCTACTACTATATTTTTCCACTTCACTTGATAAAAAATTGGAACTCTAAACAGATTTAAAGAGTGGAAAATGGTTCATTTCAAACGGGGTTCTTTTCCTTATTCCAAAAAGACTTCCAGGAAACAAAGTCTTCAAATAAGACTTTAGTTTGCCAAATGCTAAGAAATTATTCACACCCTGTGAAATTACAACCCATTGTCCATCTGTCTTCACTTTTTCAAGTTGGAAATACTTGGAAAAAGTAAAATTTCATAAACTTCAGCAATTTAAAAATCAGGTATGACTTTAAGGCTCAGTACTTTTATTTCTGAACAGGTGGTGGAGGCAGGCAAGAAAGACTAGGGAGCAGAGGCAAGGAAAAAATAGGAATATAATAGGAGTACAAGATTTTTAAAAAAGTATTTAGCCTAGCAATGATTTTTAACAGGAAATTTAAATTTCACTATGCAAAACTGTGATTTCATGAAATCATTCATAATCTGACTCAAATCTCATGGGCTCCTTTATTGACCTAGATTATTTTGTCTTGTTAAATATACCTCTGTAGGGCACAATCACATACAATCAATACGATTGGTAAATTACACAAGCTCTATCCCAAGCAAGTATGCATCAACGTTAAAAAGTTATTTTAAAAACAAAAACAAAATAAAACAAAATAAAATCCACCCAAAAAGGTGATAATGACTGCAGAATGTCTCGGGGAGACTGGTATGAGCCTAAAGACCAAATTGACCATAGTCAGGGGAACAGGGCAGCTGGGGTGACAAGGAAGAGACCACACACAAGAAGAGGAATCTCACAACTGGAAAATGTTAAATGGGTGAAAGGTTTTGTTCATTATTTTAATCTACTTTTCCACTGTTCTTGTTTCAAAAAGTCATAGATTCATCATAAAGTAAGATAATGAGGCCCATGCATCAATGAATAAAATGGGGGAAAAAATTTCCCCCCTACTTTCTTTCATTCCCAGAAGGTGGGAAGAGAAGGAGAAAGGGGACAATGAAAACTTAGTCAATACACCTGTTAAAAGTAGTCCCCAGGGCTGTGTATTAGTTGAACAGAGGATGTAAAAATAATAAACAAGTTTAAACTGCCTTCAAATTTGAGGAATATTTTACAGGGTGGTTCAGATATGATAGCAAGAAGTGATTTTTTAAAATCAGGCAAAACAAAACAACCAGAAAACCAATTATTCACCCGATAGTTTTTTTCCATTCTTTTCTACATCCCTTCATGCACCAGCTGGGGTGGAGTAAGGGGCTACCTGACAGTTTCCAGTTATAAGATGACTCTCTGAGTGTACAACCTGGAATGGATGCCAAAGACTTGTGAGCTCTGTCTACTTAGAGTTAAACAAAACAAAACAAAACAAAACAAAACAAAAAAACCCCAACCAACCAGAAACAGTGAGACCTCAATACAAGAAAATAATTCACCTTATGTTGTATATAATATACTAACTCCACAGGATTTTGTTTTACTAAATATATATTTTTGTACACAATACTGTCTTGAGGTTTAAGTTCTCTCTCTTGGGTTATTGTGCCTATTTTCTTGTGAAAATAAAGGTTATTACCCTAGGGATTTTTTGCTCAGGAATAAAGTTTAGGGGAAATTCAGTGTTTGTCTGAAAGTTGAGAGGCTCTGAAAACAAGGATTCCAGTGGTAGGTAAGTACCTATATCACAATAGGATTTTAAAAGGCTCTTTACCCAGCTGGTTCAGTGCAGTATTGAAAATCCACCCAATTAGTAGAAGGTGTTACTTCTTCCTGGTGGTGGCAGTTTCCTGTTCTTAACATAACTAGTATTACTTCTCAATTATACTCTAATACATGCGAAGTATCTTTAGCAGTCAAAACAATCTTAAAAAACAAATCTTAAGTTGGTATTTACTATAATTAATAGTACCTTTTGACAAAAACAGCTTTTTCAAGTGACTCAGAAAGGTTAAATGAAGAATTAAAATATATATATTAACTGCAACCCACCTACAACTCCCAATA